TCGGTTGCATATCAGGTGTTGAACAAACGAACTCGAAAAATTGAAGAAATGTTTAATCTTAATTTCGATGATTTCTACATTAAACAAGTCCAAAAAATGTTTTAAACAAAAACCAATCATTAATTAATCAAATGAAGTATCTAAAAGTATTGATTCGACAAATTTTGATTATGATTTAATTTTTGATGTTCCTGATAGGGTAGTTGATGCAGAAGTGAATGTTGTTAATAATCGCGTGTCTGAAGCATCGAAACATATGGAAGATTCCACTCTTACACCGGATAACAATGATTTGTTATCATCAACTAATTATGTTCTAAATAACGAAAGTCTTCCAGAAAGGATGAATGTTCAAGTTGAGTGGGAGCATACTTTCGAGGGGGAGAGAGAATGAATGAATGTTGTTGTTGAGGGGGAGCACAAAAATGTTAATCCAATTGTTGACGGGGAGCAAGTTAGAAATAGAAAAAATGTTTCGAATGAATAAACTGATGCTTTCATGATATTAATGATAATTTTTCGAATGCAGGTGAAGGATCTGAAACTGAAGAAATGTATGAAGATGCATCATTGGACTTTGATCTTGCATATCCTCTAATGGATAAATGGATTAAAAGCCATTTTAAAGAACCAGTTTTAGGTGATCCACACGAAGAAGTACTTACAAGAGCTCAATTACGTGCAAAGAATGAAGTAATAAATGTAAATCAAGAATTTTGCATCTTCAATGTTTTTAGTTCGAAAATTGAACCAAAATCAGTCAAAGATGCTATGTAACATCCTGATTGGGTTGTTTCTATGCAATCTGAACTTGTTGAATTTGAAAGAAACAGGGTATGGAGATTAATTTCCAAACCGAATGATGTTTCAATTATGGGATTTAAAATGGATCTTAAAAAAACAAAACCGATAAATATGGTAATATGGTACGAAACAAACCTAGGCTTGTAACTAAAGGTTATTCGCAACAAGAAGATATAGACTATGAGGAAACCTTCGCCCTTGTTGCATGACTCGAGGCTATTAAAATATTTTTAGCCTATGCAGTGCACAAGGATTTTGATGTCTACCAAATGGATGTAAATTGTGCATTTCTGAATGGTGAACTCGAAGAGATTGTGTATGTTGAACAACCCCTAGGTTTTATTAACGAAGAATATATTGATCATTGTTATATCTTAGATAAAGCTGTTTATGGGTAGAAAAAAGAACCAAGAGCCTGGTATACAACTCTTACCAACTTTTTGAAGCTTTCTAAATTTAAACAAGGATTAGTTGATCCCACTCTTTTTCAAAAGAAAGTTGGGAATCATCTAATGCTTGTTCAAATTTATGTTGATATAATTTTTGGCTCTACTGATCCTGGCTTCTCTAGTGAGTTTGAAAACTTGATGAAAAGTAAATTTGAAATGAGTATGATGGGAAAAATCTACAACTTTCTGGATTTAAATATTCGTCAAAGCGGAGAAGGAATATTCATAAATCAAGAGAAGTATACACTAAATCTGCTGTAGAAGTTTGGAATGACGAATAACACAAAGCTTAGAGTACCAATGGCGGTTGGAACGAAGTTAAGTCCTTCGTTAGATAAACCTGCTGTGGATATCACTTTGTAATGAAGCATTATAGGTTTGTTACTTTACCTTACAGCAAGTCGACCTGATATCATGTTTTTTGTGTGTAATTTTGCCAGGTACCAATCAAACCCAGAGAACCACATCTCACTGCAATCAAGAATATTTTTCATTATCTTAAAGGGATCATTTCGTTAGGATTATGGTATCCTTCAAAAACAGGGTTCTTTATTAAAGCATTTTCAGATGTCGACTTAGGGGTTGAAATCTAGATCGCAAAAGCACAAGTGGTGGATGTCAATTACAGGATGGGAAGCTTCTGAGTTGGCAATCGAAGAAACAAACATGTGTTTTGATTTCGATGGCAAATGCAAAATACGTGGCTGTTGTAGCTTACACTTCTCAAATCCTATGGATTCAAAGTCAACTACATGATTATGAAATCAATATGAAGAAAATTCCATTGTATAGTGATTCACAAAGTTCAATACACATTTTCCATAATCATGTAAAAGATTCAAAGACAAAGCACATTGCTCTTCGTTATCATTTCATCAAAGATCACGTTGAAAAAGGAAATATCGAAGTACATGTTGTAAAAACTACTGATCAGTTAGTTGATATTTTTACAAAACCTTTAGACGGAAAATCTTTTGCAAGGATCATGCATGGCTTAGGGATGTTGGATGCAAATTCAGTTCCAAGATAGATTTTGAAAGAACGAAAAGGAAAATAATCGTAAAATGCCGAAGTGGTGGTTACTGTTCATGGTCAACGTTTCGACATGCTTCGTTTTCGACAACATGCTCATTGTTTTGTCAATATTTTCTTTACTTTTTCTTTGTTACAACTTTTCGTTAGTCAGATACACTTCTTTTGTTTTCGTAATCAAAAATCAAAAACAACAAAAATATTTTCGTTCTTGTTTTTACTTTTCAAACATCAAAAATACCAAAAAGATTTTTCATTATTTTTGTTATTTTCATTCAAAAACTTTAAAATCCAAAAATATTTTTTTGTTTTATTTTTTTATATTCTTTTCAGGTGAAAGTGTTAACGAAGATTTTTACAGATTCATGTTGGCTGCTTAAGGGACATGTATATTTTCGAAACTATGTCCTAGTTACGATGTCCCTAGAAGCATGCTGCAGCATTTCAACCAAAGCGTCGATGACTCTATATGTGTTCAAAAGCCTTAATGGATATTTCATCATGAATATTCCTACCCAATTAGGCTGATGAAGAACTTAGTTCCAGATTTTCAAGAAACTCTTGTTTCAGTTTCTGTTTTCGATACTCAAAATCATATTCTTTCTTTTGTAGAAATCTTGATCAAATGTTCAAAACTCATGATATTTGTTACCCAACAGGATTTAGGACTAATTTTGGTTTCAAGAATATGATTTTTGTCTAAATATCATTCTCAACCTTCGTTATTTAATAAATTTTTGAAGGCTTACTTTTCACTGACAACACTGGTCAAACAAGTAATTTCGTTTACAACTTGTCACTCTTATGTTTAGATGTGCTTTGTAACGAAATTTTTAAACCACCTTCAAAACCTTGATAAAAGAGGCCCTTCAATACTTCTCTATCAGTTTGATTGTAATTTACAGGAAACCACACAAGCTATTACTCATCTCGCTTGATGAATAACAAAGTGATCTTTGTCTGGGATCTTACTGTATATTTGTGTCGAAATATTTTTGACATCATAGAACCAAAATTTTCTTCTTTTCTTCTTATCTTTATATTTGGCACGCATTGAACTCACGAAATCACTGAGGTTCTGAGTAATACCAACTCAGGCTGATGATTTCAGAAGTCAGGTATATGACTTCGCTTCTTAAACCCAAAAGCGAAAGAGCCTAACCTCCATGCTGAAGGCTGGTGACGGTTCTCATTCTCTTGAGGCAAGTTAAAAGCATGTGTGATGCGATGTTTTGTGTTCCAATCTGGATTTCAAGGAAAAGATGATGACCTATTGGTCACGCATGCCTACTTTTCTGGTGACTGGTGTAACTTTCACGGATACACATCAGCCACATTAAATGCAAAAACTGCTTCAAATTCATAATTCCACTTAACTATAAAAAGGGGTTTGGAGGATCAATTCCACTTTTACATCTTCTTAAAGTTCACAAGAATTTTTTTTTCTAATTCTCTTTGATTTCTTCAAAGAAATTCAAAACCCTAACCATCGCGGCTCATAATGTCAACATTGATCCATCCCAAATAGCATATTATGTCTCGTCTCAACCTCTAATGAAGATTTAGAGCACCAATTTAAAATTTCAAAGTGATGAAAAGATTTATCCGGAGGAGTTACAGATGCTCATTATCGCTCTCAAAATCTCGGTATTGTCAACTTCTATGTTCAATTATTTTGATGTTCCTATGTCTTGGTTGTCTTTGGCTGGGTCTACTGCAACATACAGTAAGGACATGTTAATTGTTACCTTTCAATTAACAAATGATACGAAGTACATATTGTCCAAGAAGTTGTTTGCAAAAATTCTGAACATCCCTAATACCGAGTCATTTTTCAAAGTTACAAATGAACAAGTGATTCACATGTTTAATGAAATGGGTTATCAACCAACTCTTTCCAAGATCATTGAATTCAAGAAATCAGGGTTGCCATGTATTTTGAACTTTCTCTTTGGAATCTATCTTCGATGCTTAACTGGTCGAAGTGTGGGATTGGATAAAGCACCTTTGGATGTTTATGCTATGGTGGCTGGAATTTATTATGATCTTCAAGTTGATTACGCTACTCAACTATGGTAAGAATTTGTTAAAAGTATTGGGAATACAAATGCCATGGTGGTAACTTCGTGTGCTAGGTGTTGGAGTCTTATTCTTCAATATCTTTGTGATAAAGAGCGTATTCAAGTCCCTGCAAATGAAGAAACTGTTGTGTTTGCATTGTATCAGTTTCCGAAAATTATGGAGGATGATGCAGAAATATTTCTGAGTGTGGCAAGAATTCCAGATGCAATGCTGAAAAAGGTTGATCCGTTGAATACAGTGTTGGTGCAATATCTAACAGCAATCAATCCGGATATCGAAACTTAGGTATTGCTTACTTCCACCAATGAAGGTCCATCGAAGAAGAACAGAGGATCTAAGAAGGAAACTCAATCTAGTCCTTCGAAACTTGATCAGGTTGTTAAATTCCCGAAGAAAATTACAAAGCCCATAGTTAATGAAACTGTTGATCCGTCGACGAATGTGATACCATCGAACACTGGTATTCTTATGCGCCTCAAGAAGAAAGTACATAAACCTCACCATTATTGGGAAAGGTATGGTACTTTATCACCTTCTTTTGTTTAAAAGCCACAAATTGGTCACAAGGTTGTTATCATTCGCGACATCCCTATTTCCGTTTCTCCAAAAACAAAGAAGTGGCAAGCAGAGGATATGGAAAACAAGATTTCTAAAAAAAGATCGAAGCAGATTAGGTTGGTGTTGCACGAAAATTCAACAGATGATGAAGAAGTTCCTGAATCACCTATTACCGATCCAATGGTCCATTCTTCACCAGTGAAGGATTCTCCAATTCAATCGATTTTCGATGAGACTGTAAATATGGATGGCCATCTAGAAACTTTGATAGTCGATACACCCAGTGGTCACGTTGAAAAAACCAAACCTTCAACTCCTAAGCAGACAACGGTCATACCACCCGAAGTTTCGCTTACTGAGTCATGTCATGAGGAGGTACGAACTTCAAACATCACTGCACACGTATTTGATATGGATAAAAATGTTAATATGGGTGAAGGAGTTCTACATGCCGAAGCTCAAGGTACTACTTTCATTTTATCTTCATCAGTTCCTGCTTCGGTTCTTGAAACCATCGTTTCTTTACCACCTTATATTGCTCTCAATACATCTCAATCTACTTATTTTTCAAATTCCCCTACATTTGATACCATTATTCATCAACCTATCACCTCTTTATTTCCTTATCAATCCCCGGTGGAACCACAAACTTGTAATGACGATGAAATTGACGATGGTGGTTTTATGGGTTCCTTTGGTGAAATACAATTCAACTCTGAGGAACAAAATATTCCTAATCATATGTTAATGTCAGGAAAGTAGTTTAAAATTCTCAACGGGAAGCTCAACTTTCTTCTTCAAATGCAAGCTGATGTGGTGGAAAGAATTCGATATCTGCTCTTGATATGGATGTTATGTTGCAAGGTCAAGAGCATCGAATATTGAATAAGCATCACGATATGGACGATTTTGCTAATTTACGAGTTTAATCTCAACTTGATTCTTTTAAAAATGAAATTCGTGGATTGAAAGAAACTACCAAGTCACTTCATATTCCTTTCATTCAAGACATGAATGCAATTCAGGAGGATGTCATCCTTAAAATTCAAGAATTAAGGGAAGATTTGATAAAAGAAGTTGCTACTTTAGATCACAATTATTCTACACTTCACAATAAGGTAGATATAATTGTTGGTGTTGTAGCTAAAGCAATTGAGTTGTATAATTCTTTGGGGATGAAAATGGATTCCAAAGCATAGGTTGATGTTAAGAGCTTTAGGAATGTTGAACACTTACTGCAAGAGTTGAAGGATATTGTTTCAAAGTCTGATTTTTCGAAGTCATCCGTAGTTTCTCCTGAAAAGTTCACTGAAAAATGTCACATGCTACAGTCAACCATTCAGAAAGAATTAGCTCCACTTGAGAAATTCATAAATTTTATACCAACGAATCCCCCACCTGTGAGCATAAGGGTGCAAGGGGGAGAAAGATGAAGTGTTGGCAGTGGGAGTTGCAACAAAGGAAAAGGGGTTCAAGGAGTGTTGTTGGTGACACGAGAGTTGTTGGAAAAATCTTAACTACTTAGATTCCTACTTCTCTTCCGAGAACTTCGATTTTTACTACATCAACAATAACAACAACAAGGCCTATCACAAAGGCCATTGTTATTGGAACTGTTGGTGGAGAGTCGAGTTCATCTAAGCCAAATCCAAGTGAACAAGATAAAGACAAAGGAAAAGGTGTAAGTCAGGAGTTGTCGAAAGAAGAAAAGAAGGATGCTCAAGAAGCTGAAATGGCAAAACAAATACAAATCCAGAGTATTCTTTAACAACGTGCAAATGATCCCCCTGGTCTTGACAAAGGTGATCCAACAAAGCTATATAACTATGAATATACTTTAGCTTTGACTGTATCTGAGGAGATGCATGATTTCAAAAAGATACAAAGGAGAAGCTTCGACACTATCAACTCACAAATGAACCAGTTAGATTTTCCTTTGAAAAGAATGATGTTTCTAAAAGAACAATTTGAAGTTGCAGATAAGTATAAGAATAAGATTGAGTATAAACACATGAAATTTCATTTTCATGTTGCATTGGGGAAGAAAGAGGAGAAGGTATTTTCTTTAATCAAGATCACAAGAGTTTTGGGAAGAACAAAAGACATTTTGCTCGAAGGCATGTTACAAAACTGTAGGTTTCATGTTGTTCGAGCAAATAATGTTACATCTGACTTCTCTGTTACTGATTTCCCTTCAATGAATTTGCATGATCTTTTGGTGGTGGCTTTACTAATGAAGAGTGTGGATGTTTCGAAGCTTTAGGTGACAAGCAATGAATATTTTATGAATAGATTTGGTCACTTAAAGGTTTTCATTGAAGGATATTAGGCTTTGTTAGCCTTAACTGATGTTGAGTTGGCTAAAGTTTTGGGAAAGGAAGTCGAAATTCCTCAAACGATGTTGATGAAGAAGGCAAACATAAACAAGCTTGAAGATGGAGAGATTACATTGATACCATTAGGAATTGCTTTTGTGGGGAAAAAATTCTAAATTCCTATTTTAGGTGTGTGATGTAGAAAGATATACAACATCACATTACACTAATCTATTGGTAAGGATGAATAGCTGCAAAAAAAAAAAAACAACGACAAAGAGAAGGCAAAAATTCACAAGATTGTAAACTCATATGCTAGTATCAGAATGATTAATCATCAAGATACGAAAGTGCTACTAAACTTATTCGTCACTGCTCACAAAGGGGGAGAATGTAGATGCTAAACTTAGTTTTGAGGTGTTGAATTCCTTTGTATAGTTTCGTTATTTTGTAATGTTATTACAAGGGCACTTATATTATGAATTGTAGTGTTCCATTCCCTTGTATTTTTTGTATGCTTTTGTTTTCCTATAAATAGGGATCGATATTAGAGTTAGATAGAACTTTTGTACCCTTTCTGTCTAAGAACACTCTGTATCACGGAAGCATAATATGAGATGAAAACAGATTCTATTTACTCTCGGTGTTCTTGAATTGTTTCTACTCTAATTTCATTTCATTTCTTGATTAAATAACTTCTACACATATAATTTCGAAAATTATATAACAAAAGGTTTTGATGATCACCTTGCTTGTTAGGTAGAAATAACAATAACTCCTTATAGATCCTTGACTCTTGAAAACTTAGGACCCTAAATGTTGCACCTCTAATGGTTTCTTAGGCATAGGGCCGAAAATACTAGGAGGTGGGGTTCTTTAAATAGCTATGTGATGCTAGGGTTTTTTGGAGGAAGCCCTAAATTCCTGCTTAAGGCTTAAGCAGCCCATGGACTCTTATTATGGAGCCTTGGATGAAATTTTCATAGGACCTCCTAAATTTTCGTCCATTCCTATATAAGGAGTCCAGTAGCCTAGTTTTACAACTATCAACGATTTGCAAAACAGCCACTGTTCCTTTAATTCACTACTAGAAAACAGCTGTTTAATCACGCGCAAACAATGACAGTCGTTGATAGAGGACGCGCATTAGTGTGTGCCCTAAAAAGTGATGTCAGTTTTGTAAATTTTGAAGGATAGTGGACATGCATTTGTGCGTGCCCCAAAAATAGTGTCCAACAAAAAAAATTAAAAACACGGGGGGCACCTATCATAAAAAAGCGTGTCGTCTAAAACTGTCGCTTTATATTTTTCTTTACGAACGCGCGTTCTCCGAATTTTTAATTGACAAAGGGGGAATGAAATCCAAAAAAATAAAAAACCCCGCCTTGATACTCTCGTCCTTTTCTTCTTCATATGTTGCAAAATCCTCTTCAATCAAAAGAAACCCTAAAAGCCTTGATACTCTCGTCCTTCTTCTTCTTCATATGTTGTAAAATCCTCTTCAATCAAAAGAAATCCTAAAAGCATTGTGCGTAAAAGATCGATAATTTCGTACTTGAAGTTCCTAAAATCTTCATCGATCAAAAGAAACCCTAAAACCTCGCCTTGATACTCTCGTCCTTCTTCTTCTTCTGTAATGTTGTTTCAAATAACGTCGATTTTCTCATTTTCCCCTATTTCTGTTAATCTAAAGATTGTTACTCGACATGATGCAACTCTGATTAGTATTCCGTTTCCGATTCGTCTGAATTGAGGGTTTTTTCTGTAACATTTCAGATTAGGAGTTCATATAGGGTTTTTTTGATTAATTACAAAAAGGCGTTTACTAATTGCTACTTTGATTATTGGTATTTGGAGTTTGATTTGTGATATTAGTAAGATAGTCAGGTGATCCGTGTATGGGGACTCAAACAATGGGATCGAACGGTGGAACACAAAAACCTGTGTTCGATGGATTGTCAAGGCAATGATCTCGGCATAACTCAACTTTAGATGAGGTTCAGCAACAATTAGTCGATTTAGGGAAACCTTTCAGTAGTATGAACCTTGATAAGTTTCTAAAGAATGTTTGGTGTGTCGAAGCTAATCAAGGAATCAACAATGGCTCCTCCCCTGATTACTCCGAACTCACCCAACTTGCTTCTGCTTCATCTTTGCCTAGACAATTGAGCCTTACATTCACCAAGGATTTAACCAAGAATACATTCGATGAAGAAAATCTCACATTTGGAAGAGGAAAATGAAGCATTTTAAAAGAAGGGTTTACGTTGTCCAATATCTTTCATTTCAAATCCAGCATATAAATTCTCATCTTTCTTCTGGAAAATCTTTTTGATGATCAAATTATCATTTAGCTTTTGTCACTTGCAGCTAATAACAGGATATGGAGTAGCTAAAGATGTAGAATCTGGGCATTTAAACTTCAAGAAAGGTGACCTAGTTTGGGGATTCACCGGATGGAAAGAATACATCATTATCACTGCTCCTGATACCCTATTAAAGATTCAACATACGGATGTCCCTTTTTCCTATTATACAGGAATCCTTGGTATGTTTTCTGTTTAATTAAGGATCTTTAAGATTCTGTAAATTAGGGATTTTGAATTCTGTAAAATGATTTTGTTTCTTTGATGGTTTTTCCAAGGTATGCCTGGTATGACGTTCAGTTTTTTTAATGATTATATTAAAAGAATTTTCATTATAATATATTTTTGTAGTGACTTGTGGTTTGCACTTTCTCTGTAGAAATCTGACTTAAACTTGTATTATATTGTTTCTATATTCTTGATGCATGCCCACAGTTTGATGTAATGTCAACAACACTTGAGAAACTACCACCTAGTAGTATTGCTGCTAGGGCAACTACTGGATCAATGATCATTCTTGCAAACATGATTGTTGTAGCATCTGTTTCCTCAAATTCACAACAGGTGAGCATAATCATCAAACTTTTTTTTTCAAAATTAAAGTTTAGTTTTCTAAAATCACTCTTATGCTAGGTGTTCCCTGATGATCTTCTTCTTCAACTTTTGAAACTAATGCTGCATCTAGATGTTGAAATATGTTTTAGTGGACACCAAATCTTGTCTGTTCTTCTCATTCCAAATTCTGACCATGTGAGGCGTGATACTAATGCTTCTACTTCTAATCAAACAATAAGATGGAGTTCTAATACTGCATATGTGTTTTCCTCTGTTACATCTTTACTTGGATAAGCTTCATGGATATTACTATTTAAGGATATCGTCTCCAGGTGCTAGCTTCAAAGATTTTGTGTTTATTTCCCAGTTCATACATTGCATCCTGCTGTCTCTTGCCATTTTATGACATTTTTGCCCCTGGAGCTGTTTTGAAGGTTGTTTGGGCCTAATTTGTTATTGATTTTGCATTTGGAGCTTTGTTGGAGTGCAACTTATTATTATGATAACATCTTTATTTTTTAAAAAGGTTCTCATGTCTAACAGAAAAGAAAAGCTATACTTGAACACTTTGATCCAGTTGTTGGTGACTGCTTTATGGATTGTGTCAACTGTCTAATTGTTTGAGTTGTTTGAGTTGTTATGAAACCTTTTCAATACTTTGTACAATGTATGTAGAAAGCTATGTTTTATTTATTTACTTTAATTTCATAAAACTTTATACTTTTTTTATTTATAAAATATGTGTGTTACTGTTTCAGGATGTATGTTTTATGCTGCCCCCACTCTTTAATTTGCTGTTGTGATTGAAGATATTGATTGTAGCATACAGGTGCTTGATCGGAAGGGAGCCATGCCCATGTTCTCCAAACTTCCCGATGTTAAACCTGTTCGTGATTCCCAGGTTTGTTTTTATTTAATTAATTTCATATTTATTTATTTTGCTACTCTGAGTTTGATTGACAAGTGGATTCATGCATTTTTTTGGTATAATATAGCATTATTTTTTGTGTATTAAAAGGTGTGTATTTATATTTATACAGAATATTCATAAAATATTCATAAATGATAAAATCTCTGCTTTATTTCGTCAACAAGCATTTATATTGTATCATCTTTTTTTGTCATTTGGCCCTTTTTGTCTTGGATTCACACTTCAAATAATTACTATATATCAATGTTATATGATTCTAAAATTATAAAAGTATATATCACAACTTTTTATTTTTATTTTTATTGAACTATGCAAAATGACAAAATCATAAAATGCAATTTTTTCGTAAATTTTTACCTTTGCATTAATCTTTCATATCTATATGTTGTTTATCGAAGTTGGAGGACACCATGATTACTAATCAGCCCATGTGTCACAGCACAAAAAAATCGGGTTCACCCTTCACCATATCGTCGGTACATAATCCTAAATTCTTTTTTATTCTTAATTTTTACTCACATTTAATCTTCATCTGACAACACAACCGAACCACCACCAGGTGTTGTGCATATGAAGTAACTAACATTATTTTGCCTATATTTTTATAAGTTAATTACAATTATGCCATTTACTTTTTATTATTTTCACCTTTAAAGGAATGATGTAGCTACTTGAATTATTCTTTAGATATTCAGATCCGAATAGTGCTCAATCGTCATTTTCAATGCTTCTTGGACATGCTCCACACCTTGATCATGAGGTTTGACTGTTGTTGACTTTCTTTGAATTGATGCAAATGACAAATTTGGGAAAAAAATCTATTAACTTTTTTGGTAAATATCTTGCTTAGTGTGCGATATTTGGTAAAGTTACTAAAGGTGATGAGACACTAAAGAAGCTTGAGGAATTACCCACTCGAAGTGAAGGTATATTTGTGATGGTATATTCCCCCCCCCCCCCCCCCCCCTTTTACAACACCAAATTTAAACCATAAAATATATAATCCTTCATTCTTCATAATTCATACATATTATAATTTTAAAAATTTTCTTCTGGTTTAGCCAACTGAGTGCATCATGATTCTGTCAACATACTAGTATGGTGAGTACTTATGTCTTGTTTATATTTTCTTTTCCTTTTATTTCAAATATAAAATCAAAAAATATTATGTAATTTGTAAGTTGAAACTAATATTTATTATTCGTATTTTTTTGTTGGTAATTTTGAAATATATGATTCTGGTGGCAGGAAGCAGAGGCCTTGAATGAACTTCGGCAATTTGAAACTTGTAAAAGTTTGCTCCACATCTTCTTTGCTTGATATAACACTTCCAAAGTTTGGAGTTTGGTCTGGACACCTTTCTTATACTAACAGTTAATGTTGATGAGATCATGACTTGTTAAAAGCAGTTATAGATTTCAGGTATAATTGATATGGGGTTGCAGCCAAGGAAAGTAAATAGAGTTGGTGCTATTGGTATGGGGTCAATAGCAATAGCAACAACTTTTATCCTTGCTAACTTTCCTGTAATATTTAAGGAGGATGATGAGAATTCTTTGGAGGCTGCACTTGGTGAAATCAAAGGTGAGTCATGATATGAGCTTAAAAAGTATGGTCACAACTCACAACTCTTACTTGGTTATCTTCATCTTCAGCCAATATGCACAGCCATCTTATGGCAGGGAAAATGACCAAGGAGAAGCTTGAAAGAACTGTATCTCTGTTGAAGGGTGTACTCAGTTATGATAGCTTTAAACATGTGGATTTAGTTGTAGAGGTGAGTCTGAGTCCCCACTATATAATTCATCTGTTACAACAAGGGTTTTGGCAGATAAGTCCCTGAAAAAGAATTGCAGGATGTAAATTTCTTAAATTTGAACACATGAGAAGTAGGTATGTTTCTAAACTTTAACGATTACCAGATGTTGAGGTTTTTGTCATAGTAGACTGCTAGTGACACAAGTATCAAACAAAAACTTGGTAACCGAATACAAACGATAAAACAAAAACCGATGTCATGTGGTATCATATGTATAAAACACATGACACTATAAAAGCAATGGGGTATTTTTTTTAGTTAAAGGACTTGCTCATGCAAATAGTTATTCTTCAGAGGCTTATTTGCGACAAGTGTGAAATTATATAGGTTATTTTTTTTAATATAACCCTGAGCAAGAATCACATTTTTGAAAGAAAAAAAAATACCTATAGTTTTCTAGTGTTACAATTCTCTCTTTTGTTTTTTTTTTAATTAAAACCGTGTAAAATAACCTCAAGACTTGGCTACCAATCAAATTATTGAATAAATACGTATAGTTTTCGAATAAAAACATATTCAGGGATTTGTGTACGAAAAAAGAGTGAAAGTATATTATCGGTCAAAATCCTTTTCTTAGAGCACATTGATTGAGGTGAAATTATGGTGGAAGCTAGGCCCATTATTTATGTTATAAATGAGTTGAAGCAAAATGTAGTAATTAAGTTAAAAAGTTTTGGTGTGTTGGTAGGCAGTGGAGGGAAGCATCCAGTTAAAGCAGCAAGTTTATGCTGATCTTGAGCATTATTGCCCTCAACATTTCATTCTTGCAAGCAATAGTCCCACATTTGACTTAAATCTAATTGGAGAAAGAACAAAATCCCAATTCTGGATTGCTAGGGCCCGTTTTTTTAGGTAGGTAATCATAATCATATGGTTTGTTTTGTTGGTAAACAATGAGTTGTAATAATATTTGCAGTTCCTCTGTCCTGGAAATAGGAAGCAATCTGGTGTACTCAATTGAACGCCTTCGCGAAGAGAATGATGCGGTTATTTTAGCAATGGGGGCAACGAAGCCACGCGACCTCCTTGTTCCTGGATGTGAGCTCTCAGGTGTGCATTTTGCAATGGAATTTCTACATGCGAATACTAAAAGCTTATTGGATAGCAATCTTGAAGATGGAAACTTTATGAGAGGAACCAAACGCAGCACATTATACTCTCATTTATTTTCTAACTATAACAATATACTTCCATTTTCTTAATAACAATGTACAATCGGATCCCCTTAGTTGTTCAAACGATTATTTGTATGACATTAAATTTATGCAATGGATTCTATTTTTTTGTATATGATATTTTATTTTCTATTATGAAACATTAAATACAAATTTAATTTGAAAATAAGTAAATCTATAAATAATATTTTTATTAAACATTAAAATTATGATACGCAAAATGTGTGTCATCTTCATTAATAACATGGCCTTTCTTGACAGGGGCTTTCCTGATACGCAATGCGTGTCATTAACACGCGCGTCGTCAGGTTACAACACGCGAATGCGTGTCGTCTTCCTTTACGACAGGGCCTTTCTTGATACGCATTGCGCGTCGTAAATGTGCGTCGTCTATATACGATGCGCAAAAGCGCGTCGTCTATCTTTATGATAGGGCCTTCCTTGACGCGCATTTGCGCGTCGTCTAAGCCTTTTACGATGCGCAATGAGCGTCGTAAAAGGCTGTTTTTCTAGTAGTGATTAGTTCCTCTAATCCCAAAATTAATTCAAAATAAATTTCTGATTATATACTAATTAAATAACATGATTTCTAATTAATATATTATTTCCATAATACATTAATAAATCAATTTATTATTCCAAATAATAAATTCAGCCTCTTTCTCCAAAATCCATCATGTCAAGTTGCTAGGGTGAAGTCAACCCAAAAGGACCATGCTTCTATGAAATCAAGTACATACCAATTATAATTATACGCTTAGACACTTAATCCAACAGTCTCCCACTTTGATAAGTCTATTAACTATAATTTCAAGTATGACCTCAAAATTTAACCAGGAATCTTAGCTTTCAAAAGTTGTTGTCTAACTCTGACCTACTCAGTTATGTGTCCTTTAGATAAGGGATCAAATATTCCTCCATTATACAAGATATCATATGAACATGAGACATGGATTATAATCAATCTCTCTGTTCAAAGTTTGTTTCCCGATTTCTGATTTATGACTACTGATAATAGACTACTAATTGAACAGATCAATTCAGTCCAGGATTGGCCAAGCGCTTTTGTTGTCATCATCAAATTATCAATGGGCCCACAGATAAAACTTTTCCCCATGATGGAAAAAAGAACATATAAACTTCGACTCATATGCTTGTACTATTTACTCATCAAATCACACACAACAATACATTTTATAACATCAAGTTACTTATGCGTTTACGTATTATCAATGCACAACTGACTCTTAAACAACAACTCATATGTCTCTGTCTCAAGAATATAAGATATTACCATCTCAAAATTACTCATGATAAAAATCCATGAAGTAATTCTCTGAGCGTGGGTTTAATCCAGTACTCAAATCCCATTTCAAATGTACTCATGAACACTGTAGCAAACCATTGCCACGTCTAATCCCTTAGACAATCTACAGTCCGATTCATGACAATCTTAATTCCGTACTTACTTCCAAAGTATGATCGACCGTGGATGTTTTGAATAATCCAATTACTCGGGAAGTAAAACATGCATAGTTAAACAAATGATAACTTAATTAACTATGGCCTCAAAACTATTGTGTAAAAATAAAACACTTATTATTTAATCACCATATTAATTATGCTTTATTATTTGTGTAATGTTTCAAGGTAATAAACAAATCACTTGAATTAAACATTAGTCATGCCATGTTATAAACATGCATACTATGTCTCTCTATGGTCCTTCCTTTGTGAATATATTAATTGGACATAAATCCAATGATGCTCATATCACAATTCCAAATCCTTATTGCAAGCGTAAGAATTCCAAATCCGTGTCACCAACAAATGTGTAAGAGTCTAACCTTGCATGCAATATCCTTTTGTGATGATGTGGCCTGAAAGTCACAAAGACTTCTCTGATGATGTCACAAAATGCTCTAATGAAACTCTGTTACTTAAAACAATTTCATGGTAATGAAGTATTAGATTCAAGGTAACTCCTTGAAAACCTTCTTTGCATTAAGGTTTTGAACTCACATTCAGATTCCAATCACCAAGTCCCATTATGGAAACATTTCCATATTCTCATATGACACTCAATTCTGATCAAGAATTATCTTAATCTAAAACATGTCAGTATGGTCCGTTAGAACGCTATAGTTCCAACTGTCCACAAGCAACCAATCTTCAACAAACTTTAGATTTTCCTTTAATAGTTGTTCAACTACTCTAGTCATATCCAGTTCTAGTCCTTTTTCCCTTCTTAATGCCCTAGGCATTTGGAAAAATCAGAACAAGCAAATATTATAGCATATGCAATCAATACTATATGTGAAGCATATGGGATTCAATACATAATGTTTTAATAAAGACTCGACACTTGATCGGTCTTTTGCTATAATATTTCCATATATAGAATTTCTTGTGTTGAATCATTTCAACACAATATTAATATATGTTTATGACTAAGTTCCATTAAAATCCTTCAATCTAATCCTTTAGATTTGAAAGAAGGTATAAGTTCCTTCTCCCCCAAATCCTTTTGTAGCAAAATAATTCCCAAACACTGTAAGCTTGAAATCTTTGTTTCCTATAACGAGTATTGCCAACTTGCAACACCTAGCATAATATGTATGCTCCCACTATCATAACAATTATACGCTTACTAGCATAACAATTATGCTCCCACAAGCTTTGACATGTATTCAGAAATCAACTGGACTTTCATAAATCAATACGATTGACTTTCTTACTAAAGTGTAGATTTCTAATATGTGGTGCTTCGATAAGTCTTCATCTAGACTTCTTAAGCTCATACACCTTTCATTAGATAGCATACATGTGTGTTTAAACCTTTTTCGAACTTATGATAATAATTCCTGAACTTTTAAACTATTTCTTGCCATTTCTCACAATTCGAACTATGAAAAGGGATGCTATAATCATATACGAATTTGAGAATGTAATTATCACAACTACTAACCATAATGATATCAATTCAGATTTAAAATCTACTAGTGAAAGTGTTTCTTCATAATCATTTTCATGTGTTAGATTGAAACCTTTTGCCACCTATATTTTACGGTTTATGTGTTCCTATCCATGTGAATTCATCAATTCCAACCTACAATCATAAGATAAGGTTGAGGACAAAACCAAAATCTGATTTAGTTTCCCTTCATGGACTGAACTTAGTATATTCTTAAATTCACGCTATCTGTTAGCACAAGGGCCTACCAATGCTTCCAAGTTGTCAAGCAGTTCACTTCCATCGACCAATGTACTATCATTGACCAATGAGCTCTGCCTTTTGCAATAAAATGAGAACTATAGAACTCACATGCATAGTCAACTTAACTGGAAGGTGCATAGAAACAACAATGTGTCAACTTAACATGATAGGTAATCAAACTCAAATCGTGTGCTAGTGTTAACTACCAGGTTTATTCTTTATTTACTCTTGAAAACATTCAAGACCAATAAGGCTCCCACTGACTTCTTGACATATAAGTTTTTCTGTTAAGGAACATTCCTTGACAAGCAAAAACAAATATTCAAAAGTTAGTTTGGGTTCTTATCAAGACAACACTTCATTTAATTGGTACAAGTCTATCTTTGTTTTAACCAAAACATCACAACTACCAATTTCAAATGTGCTAGAGTAAGAAAAAATTTCTACTCCACATTTCATGAGGCGTTATAAACCTACTTAGTTTGAGATGAGCTTCAAGGTACGATTTGAAGTTACTAGAGTGTGACTCTAAAATTTAATTTGGAAACGAAGTATGATTCATCTCATGATTATATTATTTCACCAATTATCAATTCATCTTCTTAGTTAGAAACAATTTCACTAAGGCGTACTTAGAGGATCAATTGTGACATAGTTCCATAATCATTAAGATGATCATAAAACATGATCTAACGTACTCTCATTTCCTTTAAGATTGGAGAAACATTTATCTTTTTGCCTTATGGATTCTTCTTATTCATTCTGCTACTTTTTGAAACTTTTCAAAGAATCAGAATTACACTTAATCTTATAAGTATAACCATATTTACTGAACCGTCGGCAAATTATGACGAACAAATTTATCAACTTTTGTGGTGGATCATAATAGTCCACATCAATGTGTACTAGATCTAATAGTCTGTCACTTTGACTCACACAAACATGTGATCAACAAATTAGTATTAATTTTCTAAAGATGAGGATTCTCATACATCACACAATTGGAATTGTATGACTCCAAATTTCTATCCAACTTAAACTTGGGTGATGAGAATTCCTTTTCACTTCATAGATTTAGACATTACCACAATCGATATAATAAAGAGTCAATCCATACTTAACATTGCTAATATTGGAAATATAACCACCAATTTTCATCAATTTCATTGCAAGGGAATAAAGTAAATAAAATAAAACAAAATTTTTTACATCATTCATAAAATGCGGAAAAATTTATCCTTACAATGCAAATACATGAAAACTATGTATCTAGACACTTTTGCGAAGCAATCTATTAAACTATCATAACTCCTAATCAGCAGCTCAAAAATATGATCCTCGAAACATGCGATCGAAATTTAGCTCTCATGATCATATTCAGCTCACTCTTCTTCTTAAGCTTCCTTCTTTCTCTCAGATCCTACAAAACATCAAAATATGACTATCACATCATGAAATAAGAATCTATGAATAGGAACTTAATGGAGTTAGATAGTGGATGTACCTAAAGTGGATTCATACAACTTGACCTCACTATCTCTAAGATATTTTAGGTAATCCGGGCAGTTTCGCATCCAATGCCCCTTCAATTGACAATAGAAATATATGGACTCTTTGGGAATGACACAGGGGACTATCTCAGAATCAGCTTTTCTATTTACCATATAGTCAAACGGTTTGACCTTGGCCGATCCCTTTCCATTGGGAAGAGAAACCTATTCTGGACTTCCAATGTTTCTATTGTTAATGTCGATGGAAACTTGGGATGTTGATCCTTCAAACATATTTGCTTAACCAGTACACTTCAGCA